AGTACCCTACTAAACGCTCCGCGCTGTGGCGTGAGATCCATTTTGGCCGGTCAGCTTACATTCTAAGAAAGATTTTTTTTAGTAGGGTTTTTTTATCGAATTGAACCAACTATACGCTATACGCTGGCCATGTTTTTCCGCAAATTTCCACGGTTTTCAGGGTATAGTAGTCCAAGTTCATCAAGTATACGCTCCGTGCTGTGGGAAAACGCACAGCCTAGCTTGGCAGCTGTTGGGGTGCTTTTAGCAACCGCTGGCAGCGCTTTGCTGCTGATTTCTGTTCTTTCTTTTTCTCCGCGATGGTCTCAAGAGGGCCAACATCAGAAAACAGTGACGAATTGCATCTGCAAGCCAAAGCAACACAGTTGAGATGCCTGTCGCAACGCTTTGCGCTGCTGCTTGAAGTGGTTCAGCTCGCGTACCAGAACCTGCAATATTTTTTTTCCTCGAGTGTGGCCGATGTCGCGCTAATGGCTCGGTCCTTACATGAGAGTAAGCAGAAAAAACTCTGTACAAGGACAAAAAGTCCTTGGAATTAGCAAATCGATTGAAACAACAAAACGAAAACCACAACCACACAAACAGCGACGACCCGCAAATCCCCCAGCCAGACTTGCGTTTCGCCAGCGGAAACAGCGAAGCAAACAGCAAAAAGAAACAACAAAACCCAAAAAACGGGGCCAGAGCCCAATCGCGTACCAGAACCTGCAATAGATTTCTCCACACATGTTGTTTCCTTTGTGACCCCAGAAACTAGGGCCAGAAAGGACTTTGAATCTGCTGCCGCCAAAACCTTCCCCCATGGTACTAAGTACCGCCCTACTTCCGACAGAGAAGCTTTCAATCACAAGACTTTGAGACTTCAGATCCAACCCGCAAGGTACCCCCAAATGCGACACCAACACCATGTCCAGCCACTAACTAACCCACCAGGACACGCCCAAGAGCCACATGAGCGATATCGCTGCAAGACAACAACAAACCCTACTGCAGCAACCCACCAACCGCCTGCAACCGTAACTACACTAGAAGGTGCACAGAAACCAAGTAAAACTCTTGGATTGGGAGCCAGCGCAAGATGTATATCTTCTATGGGCATTTTTTCATTTTTCTGACGAGGCAGTGGGAGGAGGCGCGGCAAACCACGGCTTGACCAACACATGCGCAGCAACCTTGAGGCGTTGCTAAGGGACCCCAACAATCATATAATATAGATTCGAGTCCCCGTGAGCCTCGCTTTGTCCTCGTGCCTCGGGCAGGCCTCGGTAAGCCTTGGAGCGCCTCGAATGCCAACAAACCTGCTTCATCATGGCCCCTAAAACAGGGCCCAAAAAAGTGGTCAAAACATGGCTGCGATAAAGGGACCTTGACAGTACTCGTGATTATCAGGCATCTGCATCTTAGACCATCTCGTAGCAGTGTCTCGTAGTGTTGGGCTAGAAGACTTGTAGTCAATCGTTTGCAAGCTTTTCTTTCCAGCTCGAGTGGTTCTCGCAGACGCGTTGAAGATTTACAGGACCAGAAGAAGATTTTATAGCGTTGCTGACTGGAAACTTGCCACGGCAGACTTTGGGCTGCAGTGAAATACGCGCGCTGTGAAACGCAGTGAAACGGCTAATCTCACCGAAGGTGATATGGTTTTATCGAAAGAAAAGAGGTTTCGAAACAATTTTGGGTAGGCCCAAAATTTTGCGCTTACTTTCACGGTTGTATTCGCTAACCGTGTGTTTGGTGTTACGTCACCTCATTTGTGCAATGCAAGGGATTGGACAAATGTTTGTTTCAAGACTGTTTGTTTGTTTGTTACTGCTTGGCCTGTTTTTCTTTTTGAGTTGTGTCTCAAATACAAACCAGACAAACAAACAAAACTTGAAACACCTCTCTCTCGTTTTTAGGTAAACTCATTTGAATTCTATGTCCCGCGCTCGCCTCAAACCAGAAGGGTGGGTGGTGGGTTCAATTGTTTTCCACGGTTTTACTCGCGACAGTGGGGTGCAATGGTGTGACTGGAATGGACTTACTTGGATTGAGTTTCCTTCGACTGACTCGCTTCACAGTTTTTCGCTTACAGCTGGTGATTTCTGGGAGTGTCATGTCGCTATTGTCCACTGGTTTCATCGATTCCTGTGCGAGAAATCTAGGTGGCGAACAATTGAAGATTCATTTTCCTTGGGATGGTTCTCAGTATGATCAGTTTCTTTCGAAGAAGCCAAGTTCTGTCATCAGAGCTCCTGAATGGGTAGACTTGCCTGCTGCTCAGTCAGACGGCAGTGCGCCTGTGCCGAAACCAACCAGGTTGAACAAGTTCAATGCAAAGCAGCAGATGTCGGAGCTGTCATGGGTGGCATCGGAAAACAGTAAATTGAACTTGGCTTTGCAGAGTTGGAAAGTTATCATCATGGATAGCACTTCAAGTACTGATCTTGGGAAAATTTTGATGCAATGTATTGAGTTTGGTCGGAGTGATGACTACGTCTGGCAAATAATTTCTGACACTTTCAGTCAGAAGTCTACAGCGACGTTGAAAGCAAGGTCAGCGTCTCTTCTGGCTTTTGGCAGGTGGAAGAGATCGATTTCTCTTGGCAGTACAAGTGGGATCTTCCCGATCTCGGAGGAGCAGGCCTATCAATACCTTTGTGAACTTCGTTGCATGAAGGCAGCACCTTCAAAAGGTAAGAGATTTTTGGAAGCCTTAGGATTTGCAAAGGGCTTGATTGGGGCGAAGGTGGATGACACTTTGTCTTCAGCAAGAGTGAGGGGCGCTGCAAGTGGACTTGTTTCAAGTTCACCGAGGAAGAAGTGCCCTTTCACGGTCGATCAGTTGGTCTTGCTGGAAAGGCTAGCCATTTATGGGCAAGGCCAGGATGCAATCTTTGCTGGTTATTTGTGTTTCCTTGTGCATTGCAGACTTCGTTGGTCGGATGGTCAGCATTGTATCCAAGAACCGACCTTGGACCTACATGAAGACAGAGGTTTCATTGAAGCTGCTCTTTATCACCACAAAACTGCCAGGAAACGTCGTTCAACTGTTCTCAGGCTGTTGCCGGTTGCAGGAGTCATCCCAGGCCTATCAGGCCAGGACTGGGCCGAACATTGGCTCCGTAAGAGAGCTGAGTCTCAGTTGAGGGGTTCTATGAGGCAGCCTATGATGCCTGCGCCTACTGCAGGTGGATTGTGGACGCAACAGCCTCTGACGTCTTCAGAGGCAAATTTGTGGCTGAGAGAAATTTTGGGACCATGGTGCCAACAGCCGATCAGTGGGCTGGCTACGCATTCTGCGAAAGCAACGGTGCTTTCATGGATGGCGAAGGCCAACGTGGACATTTCATTGAGGAGATTGGCGGGTTACCATGTGATCCCTGGTGACAAGAGTGCTTTGGAATATTCACGTGACGCTGCAGCACCTGTTTTGCGTCAGATTGAAGCAATGTTCATTGCCATCCGTTCGCAGTCTTTCAATCCAGATTTGCCCCGATCTCAGAGGTGGTCAGGTGTCAGTTGCTTGGACGAGGCTGTTCAACTTGCTGCATCAGCTTTGAAGAAACCGGGTAAAAGCAGATGTAAGAAACGTTTGTTCAGTGCGTCTTTCATGAACCTGGAAGTGGATCCCTTGTTGGACGACGAGTCCAAACCTGCCGGCACGGACCTTGGAGATGAGTTTCCTTCTTTCGGTGATGATGTCACTTTAGAAGAGTTGAGATTGAGCAATCTGATGCATTCATCCGAGTGTGATGGTCCTGGTAATCTTGATGATGCAAGTGACATGAGTGACCTGTCAGAATCAGTTGAGTCCTCGACAGATTCAGACAGCGGTTCAGACGATGCAGATCGTCAAGCGTTGATCAACGGTGAGAAGAACTCCAGAGACTTAGTTGCTCCCTCAGACCTCAGTGGTAAAACCTGCTTCAAACATGTCAAATCTCAGAAGCTTCATTTTGTTGAGCGCTCTGTTGGTGATGTCAGTGTCTTCAGATGCGGTCGGAAGTGTAACGCTAACTATGTGAAGCTGACAGTTGTTCCATCTTTTGCGGCACGGGGCTGCATGACATGTTTTGGTTGGAGCGACAAGCAAGCTGATGCCAGTGACCCAGATGATTGAGCGGCTTTTGCATTAGGCGTAGTGTTTTGCAGTTTGACATGGTGACAGTCTGCTGACACATGTCATGCAATGATTTCAACTTGCGACCTTTTGGGACTCAGTTGGACATGCCTGTTGATTCTTTGTTTCTTGTGTGAAACGTTCAGGAAGTCTTTCTTTGTTTAAACAGTTTAAACACCCAAACGTTCAGTTGAGTCTGATTTTCACTGGCAAAGTTGTGAACTCAGTTGGCATTGCAAGTAAATCAATTTGCTTCTTGAGTGAAACTTACAAAGTTGAGTCAATGTTGAAACTTTCAAACGTTCGGTTGAGTCTGAATTTTGATTGCAGCATTCTGTGGACTCAGTTGGACACACCAGTTTGAATCTTGTCGTTTCTTGAGTGAAAACGTTCGTGTTCTGTTGTCTTGAAACTTTTCATTCAGTTGAGTCTGAGTTGCTGAAGCAATTTGTTGTCTTCCATGTTGCGGTGTCCGACTGCGGCAGGATAATGTCCTGCTAGAACATGCTTTCACCCCGATCTCATGGACATCCTACAGAGGAAAAGGACTGCAGCAGAGTTTAGTTGTCAAATTGCAACCAACTGATGTCAAGCCTGTTGCACATGTCAGTGAGCTGATGTTTAATGTGTGAATCAGCTTCAGAGCTGATCAAATGCAAGTCGGACACGTGTAAATCAGCCATATAGAAGTTTATCCATTTTATTTTTCATGTTGGTGTGTGGAATGCTCCAGCCGGACTTCGGTGTCTGCACAGGGCAAAGGCCTTGAGTTATGTGGAAAGACCACTTTCAAGTCGACATGCACCAGCTTGTTTTGATGCACATGCCTTTTTCATTTGTTTAACTGTTTCAGTTTCCATTGTGCCAACTTCAAGTCTGCCAACTTCAGCTTTGAGTAGCCATGTCATACGTGGATAGCCAGAGTGTCTTCAGAGCCAGATGCGATGAGATCAAATTGTCCCAAGCGACTTTTGACGCGTTGACGGCAAAGGGATGGTCAACCTTTGGCAGCTATGCCTTCTCAGTGTCAACGAATCCGGCACAGATTTCAGATGACGATTTTGATTCAAAGGTGGCAGTGCCCATTTTGGGGAACTCCAATGCAGCTGAAGCAGCATTGCTTCGGCGATTGCTCTTCGAGAGCTACACCCTGACAGCGACAGAGCTGAAGCGGAAGGCTGACAATACAGAGGGCGATGGGCCGAAGAAACTACCCATCCAAGAGATAGCGGCCAGGTTTACCAACCTTGAGAAGAAGCTTGCGCCTTTGAAGGTTGAGAGCGTTATTGAACCCAGCCATGCATTGATAAATAGCCTGGCTCAGTGTGCAGACGATGGACGTTTGCGGTACATTGAGTGGTCACGTTGCACCTCCAGGGCTGCAGAGTTGAACAATGTGAAGGAGCAGCAGAGCCTCAAGGTTTGGAGAGCCGACTCTACTGGGACAATCAAGCAGTCCGATGCCGAGACAAATTTGAGGTGCGAGGTGGCCTCTGAGCTTGACGTTTTAAATGCTTTGAAAAGGAGAGGCGTTGCCTATGAATTGGCAAATTTGATGAGCTTCGAGAAACATGAGCTGATCATTAACTTGCTGTTCACAGAGTTGCAGCGGGAGGCCATTGATGGTTTCAAAAAACTGTCCATCAGCCAGCTTGCGGCAGCAGACAGAGAGATCCACCTGAAGATGTCAGAGCTTACAAGGGCCGGCCTTCCTTTAGGGCCAGCTGGTGAGTTGCCGCTGGATGCCCATGTTGGTACTGTGATTGCCTTGCCGGCAGTGATGTGGCTGCTGATGCCCAAACAGAAGTCAGCTGCAGCCTCAGACAAGCCATCAGCGCCGAGTCCTCATCAACCACGACCAAAGCACAAACCTTGGTCACCTCCAAAAGGGGGTAAGTTTGACAAGAAGAATCGCAAGGCTTCGAAAACACCAATGCCATTGCAATTGCGGGGTGGCACCCCAGTGGACTCGGAAGGGAAGTCGATCTGCTATGGATTCAATCTTGGAAATTGCCACGAAAAAAATTGCAAGCGTGGCAGACACGTTTGCTGCCGCCCAGGCTGTTTTTCTGCTGCCCACAACTTTGTCAACCATGACAAGGCGAATTGACTCGGGAAGGATCAGTGTCTTCCCAAGCAGCTGATGAGCGAGTCTGGCGAGGTCGAAGGGGCCTCGACGCCTGGTGTTGCGAAGGCAACATCATCATTTTTTCCTTCAGTGGAGTTCATCCAGGGTGAGCCTGTTTCCAATGAGGTTCCAGTCGAAGGGCTGGCGCCGTCCTTTTCTGATCGGCCAGAAGTGGCCAAACAGGGGACTGACCCTGTGCAAGTCCAAGTTGGTGCAAAGGCACCGCCGTTCATGCTTGAGCTTTTTTGTGGAACTGCGGGAGTGTGTGTGCACAATTCCGCACACTTGGTGGCCGTGCGATTGGCGTGGACCACCACTTGAAGCGTGCGTCGCTAAAGGCAGCTGCAGTGAAGTTGGACCTGACGCAGGTCTGGGTCCAAGAGCTGATTATCAGAGAAGTGCAACTGGGTCGAATTGATTGTGTCCATTTGGGACCTCCGTGCGGCACAGCTTCGAAGGCGAGAAACATCCCGATAAAGCGGAAGCTAATCAAAAAGGGAGCTCCAAACCCACAGCCATTACGGAGCTCCACTCACCCCTTGGGATTCCCTTGGTTGAAAGGGATCAACAGAGCGAAAGTGCTGGCCGCAAATTGCCTCTATGAATTCTCTGCCAAATTGATTTTGATTTGCAATTCACATGATGTGCTGTTTACTGTGGAAAACCCACAAAACTCTCTGCTGTGGGAGACTCCATTTTTTGCGAAAATTTTGGATCAATTCTTTTTCCATGTGGTAGATGCTTGCGAGTATGGATCAGAACACAAGAAAGCAACAGCATTCCTTGCGAATTTTGATGCGCCCAGACTGAAACAGAGGTGCCGCGGGAATCACCAGCATGCAGCTTGGAAAGTCAGGCAACTTGAATCAGGCCAATGGGCATTTGACACGGCCAAAGAGGCCGAATATCCAAAGAAGCTTGCTCTTGAGCTAGCTGCTGCATTTCTGGATGAGCTGGCACAGCGCGGCAAATTTATTTATGAGGAAACATTACAAGACCATGCAGTGAAAGTTTCGGCGGAAGTGCAACCCCGCCGCACCAAAGGGCCACTTATTCTTTCTGAATTTAAGACAAAAGTGTGCATAGAGTGCGCATCTTCAGACAATCCTCCATCAACAATACCCGAGGAAGCCCATCCTCCTTGGCAGGGAATTCCTGTCGGCTCGAAGCTCGTCGACCTGCAGCCGGTGCGTTCTGAAAATGGGGATAGTGGCCGGCTGAAAGCAGTTTATGGTGTCTATTTTTCTCCTGCTGAATTTGTGCAACATGTCCAAACCCTGCGTCATCCCTTTGACATTCCCATGCCGCTTGACGAAGCCAACATGCAGTCAATTTCCTTTATTTTGGCAAACAGCCCTTCGAAGGTTGCAAGGCATAGGTCTGAAACGTTGAAGTACTATATGGAGCGAGCAAAAGCTTTGCACGAAGATGAGAGACAGTTGCATAGAAAGTTGGACCCTGCAATTCAGCCAGTTCTGCAGTCAAAGCGGCTGCTCCTCTTCAAGGAGATGCTCAGAGATGCGGGAGTCGTGGACCAAGCACTATTTGAAGAAGTCTGCTCAGGATTCAGGCTGGTAGGCGATTTGAGCCCCTCTGGTCAATTTCCGAGCCAGTGGAAGCCAGCTGCTTTGGGAGTTGAACAGTTACAGCAGACAGCCATTTGGGCACAGAGAGCGGTTGTTGGTTCGTGCAGACGCGTCTTGGAAGATGCAGAGATTGCCAATGCTGTTTGGCAGGAAACCATGGAACAAGCGGCTCCTGACAAGCGTTGGGTGATTGGCCCGTTCACTGCGGAGGAGGTCACAAGGAAGCATGGGCCCCACTGGGTACCTTCCCGCAGGTTCGGCGTCAGGCAAAGTGGAAAGATCAGATCTGTTGACGATTTTTCCCAATACTTGATCAATGCCACGGTTTCTTGCCACGAGAAGATTGATTTGGAAGGCATCGATCACATTTGTGCCACTTCAAGATTTTTTCTGGGTGCGATGCGCAACAGGTCAAGCTGGAGCATCCCTACGGCCGACAGTGTGGAGTCGGGTCCCATCGCTTCAGAATGGTGCAGCCCTGGTGCAAGAGACTTGTTAGGGCGTTGCCTGGACCTCAAACAAGCATACAAACAGCTTGTCCGACACCCATGTGATGCATGGGCAGCTATCTTGGCTGTGGCCAACCCAGAAGATTCCACGGTTTGCTTTTTTGAAACTGTTGCACTTCCGTTCGGTTCCATCAGTTCGGTACTGGCATTCAACCGTGCGGCCAGAGCATTGCGGATGATCCTGACTCGGTTATTTAAGTTAGTGGTCACAAATTTTTTCGACGACTTCTGCCAGATGGAGCTGGCTCCCCTTGCGAGCAGTGCATGGAAAACTGCCGAGCTGGTTCTTGAACTTTTGGGTTGGCGGATTTCAATGGGCGAGGAGAAGAGGAGACCCTTTTCGAAACAGTTCGAGATTCTTGGGGCAGTTGTTTCTTTTCCAGTTGCAGGTGGGACAACAATACAAGTGACGAATAAAGAATCAAGGATCATGCAATTGCAGGAACAAGTTGACGAGCTAAAGAAGCTCCTTGGATCCAATGCCCCGAGGCCCTTGTTTGAATCCCTCAAGGGCAGATTGCTCTACGCGGCAGGACATACATATGGCAGATGCACTCAGCTGGCTTGTCAGTTGCTTCACAAATTTGGAGGTGAAGGACCCTCCACAAAGGTTTCCCCGCAGTTGATACATGTCATTTCGCATGCGTTGTCCTTGCTGATGGAATCCAAGCCACGTACTGTTGAGTCATGGGCTGAGTGCCCACCCTTGCTTCTTTTTACGGATGGTGCTGCAGAAGAATCTTTCGAAAGGGTCACCCACGGTGCGGTCTTGGTAGACCCGTGGAAGCAAACCAGCTATTACTTTGGTGATCAGATTCCTGCTGAATTCTTGAGACTTTGGACGAGGTCCGGCAAAAGGCAAGTTATTGCCCAAGCCGAAGTCTTCCCTGTCGTGATTGCCAAGTCCACGTGGGAAGAATCTTTGCGGGGCCGTAGCATCTTGTGGTTCCTTGACAACGAGTCGGCGCGCATGGCGTTGATTCGAAATTTCTCTGGAGTATTGGACAATTTTTTTCTTCTGCAGATGAATGCAGCAATGGACGTCAAGGTTCAGGCTAGAAATTGGTACAGCCGAGTACCATCGAAGAGTAACCCAGCAGATGATGCTTCACGACTGGTTTTTTCGGACTACAAGAACTCCATCAGGTCCAAACCGGACTACGTTCCAGCCTTGGAATTTCTGAATGAGTCATGGAAGCTGGCAAGTATGTTAGAAGTGGGGAGGTAGGCAGCTACCATGTCCGGTTCCTTTCCAAACTTCTCTTACTGGAATGAAATGTTGTTTCAGAAAATTTATTTTGGCCACAGGGCCCAATGGTGTGGAAGCACACCTTTGTTTGGAAATGCAAATGCAATGAGGCGAAGCTTTATTCGACCCTTTTCCCGAAGTGATGTCTTTGGAAAATGGCTGCGAGTGGATGCACTCTTTTGGACTCTCCCCATTTACTCAAGCATGTGAAGAAAAAAATCGTGTGCCTGAGTTTCAACTGCTGTCAGCCGTTCAGTTTATTTGTCATGCACGAGTTTATTTATTTACTTGTGTTTGTAAGTAAGCGCGTTGAAACCGCGTTACGCGATAAGGCTAATCTCACCGAAGGTGATATGGTTTTATCGAAAGAAAAGAGGTTTCGAAACAATTTTGGGTAGGCCCAAAATTTTGCGCTTACTTTCACGGTTGTATTCGCTAACCGTGTGTTTGGTGTTACGTCACCTCATTTGTGCAATGCAAGGGATTGGACAAATGTTTGTTTCAAGACTGTTTGTTTGTTTGTTACTGCTTGGCCTGTTTTTCTTTTTGAGTTGTGTCTTTTACAAACCAGACAAACAAACAAAACTTGAAACACCTCTCTCTCGTTTTTAGGTAAACTCATTTGAATTCTATGTCCCGCGCTCGCCTCAAACCAGAAGGGTGGGTGGTGGGTTCAATTGTTTTCCACGGTTTTACTCGCGACCCGCCCAAAAATCCCACCCCGCGAGTAAGGTAGGCAGCTACCATGTCCGGTTCCTTTCCAAACTTCTCTTACTGGACTGAAATGTTGTTTCAGAAAATTTATTTTGGCCACAGGGCCCAATGGTGTGGAAGCACACCTTTGTTTGGAAATGCAAATGCAATGAGGCGAAGCTTTATTCGACCCTTTCCCCGAAGTGATGTCTTTGGAAAATGGCTGCGAGTGGATGCACTCTTTTGGACTCTCCCCATTTACTCAAGCATGTGAAGAAAAAAATCGTGTGCCTGAGTTTCAACTGCTGTCAGCCGTTCAGTTTATTTGTCATGCACGAGTTTATTTATTTACTTGCGTTTGTAAGTAAGCGCGTTGAAACCGCGTTACGCGATAAGCACAGTGAAACGCGCACGGCACTGTGTAACGCAGTGAAACGCACAGTGAAACACACAGTGAAACACAGCGCGAAACGTTGTAATTTACAATGGTTTTGCGTTTTAAGTAGAAGCAAGGGCTGCTGCATTCAAAAAAGTCCTAGCTTTTTTTCTTCCCGCAAGCACGTAAATTACCGCGTTTCGTGCTGTGTTTCACTGTGCGTTTCACTGCGTTTCACAGCGCCGTGCGCGTTTCACTGCATTCTACAGCGCTGCGCGTATTTCACTTTCTGTTTGCTGTGAGTTAGGTTGGAGGGGCAGCAATAGTGTTAGGAAAGCGTAGAGGCGTAGAATGCCCCCTGCCCCCCCATGCGGCAATGTTGGACAAGTACCTTGCTTTTGTGACAATGAAGCGTTTTTAGCGTATTCTAAGCCCATGTCAGCCGCTTGTTTGTCATGGGCTACGATTTGCATTGCGCCTTGATTGTTGTTTCGGTTGGATTCGCTTTGGTTGTTGGGCCGGGAGAGGAGAGGGTTCGGATGATTGCAATGTTTTGAATCATGTGCAAAGCTTTGCGGGGCTTCAGCAAGCCTGTCTACGCTTTGAGATCCGCTTCTTTGTTTGACGAGAAGTTGTACAGGCTGTGTTTTGTCATCGCTTTCACAGTAGCTGTCAGACTTTAAAAGGACCGAGGCGCATGAACTTTGCTAGACTCAAATGGTCGTTGTCCGCATTCTGCGGCGTACCACAACATTGCACGATGAGGGGAAGGGAGCAACGTGAGCATCGGCCAGCAAAGCGGCTGGAATGTCATCCATGACAGATGTTCAAGTGCTTTTAATGTTTTTTGTTTTTGGATTCGAAAATGGCCAAACAACAGCTCCAAAAATGGGAGTTGAAATTTGTCACAGAACTGGAGCCATTGGAAGGGGCCTCCCCAGTATCGCATGGACATTTCCGCCGTGGCAGAACCCCCAATCGCAATAAGGATGCTTCATGGACTGCAAGCCCGGTGTAAGACGCAGCCGAAAAACCAAGGATATCAACTTCCCTACTTCCTTCTAGAACCAGCACCTGCACCAGGTGAGGGAAACTCGCTCGCAATAGGAACCGAATGATCTGTCGGACTGCTCCAACCCAAGTTGGATGCGGCGGTCGTGCATGCGCGGGACGGATTGTTGTCTCTGTCAATAGGCGTACAGCTCTGGTGAGCAGTAGCTTATGATCTGCGAATTCAGCTGGCAGAAACTTTCGCCACACTCGCCAACCTATCGCCGTAGCAAGGAGTTGGTACACCGCATATTCGTGGGTTGTTTTAGTCAATCCAAGTTGAGTGCTCCCAGTCATCGATCATTGCCAGGGAAGGCCCATAGACCTTCATTTGAGCATGGTTTTGAAAAAATAGATCATAGTCATGGTCAGGGCTAAGGAGACCCCGCCTAATCCACTACAGTGCACCATCAGGTCAATCTTGCAAAGGGACATCTTCTTGCCAGACTTCTTCCAGCGAAATAACCCACTGTGCCCACTTAGGAGGGCGGTCAAGCAATACCTGAGAGTCACTGGTTGCCGTGCCGGTGTATATTTCTTGGGCACAGTGGACGATATCGAAAGTGTAGCCCTTAATTTCCGTGTGCTATGTGCCCAGTGCGTCGGGAGTCCAAAGTCCAGTTGCGCTGCTTGCACCAGGGCCCGGCACTGGAGTCCTCGGTGCTCTCCTCGCCCCCACAAGCCCAACAATGGTTGTCCAGGGTTTGGCTTGCATTCATGGATGAAAGTCAGCAATATGGCAATTATCATGAAATTGCTGCACTTGTAGCCATTCAGCAGCCTGCTCTTATTGTGTTTGTAGGCGATCATCGAGACTCTCCAAAGGCAGGGTTGCGGCAGCCAATCGGCAGAAACTGCTCCAACGGCCGCTAGGGCTGAGAGCGTTGAATCGTCCTGGTGACTCCCGCCTGCACGACTGCCTGCCTGATAGCACTATTGTGGCCTGATGCGAGTCAAGATAGCGACTCGGACGACCTTAAGACAGATCAGGAATGTGTATCATAATATCCTGCGTTCTACAGTGAAGTCTGCTTGTATGACATGCTCATCATCAACATGCCAGCGACTCAAAAAAAACTTTGTGTCGCACCGACTTCGGATGCTCAGATTTGTGATAAGAAAAAAGATCCGAAGAAAAAATAATCAAAGATCTGACCATCCGAAGTTGGTGCGACACAAAGTTTATTTTAAATCGTTGGCATGTTGATGATGACGTGAATAATGCATGTCGTACAATCAGATTTCATTGTAAAATACACAGCATGTTATACACATTCCTGATCTTCGCAAATGTTGAATGATTACAAACCCACGCCCGCCTCAAGGCGGTCATCCCTTGTTTTACAGGGTGGGGCCGGGCCCCCAGTTGCTTTTTGTTAAAGCCTTGTGAACAAACTATAGTATGATATATCTATATACCACAAACATCCACAAACCATAGATATTGGAGTTGTAAACCAACTGGGCTATTATCTAGGGGGCTGCACCTCGTAGATCCTCGTAGGGTAAGAAGCACTTCATGAGGATTCTTGGATAATTGATGTCTTGAGATATCTTGAATCTCGCTCCGTCGCCGTCTGTCAAGACTGCCGTGTAGGCAGTAGCGAGAAACTAGAAGGCAATGGCTGAATTGCACGCGTCAAATGGTGTGCTACAATGGCACTATGCACAAATATATTGAACGACTTTCCAATTGTACTTGAAATTGTGATACAGCCCTTCTATGATGATTATGATCATTTGATGTTTCACCATAACTCAGGTAGTAGTTTCAGTTTCGTTAATAGCTCGTGGTTCGGACGATTTTTGTCTGATGCTTCTTGAGGTGAGTTTTCCCGGGTGCCTTGGGGGATTGGTGGTTTGGAGGAGGCGATCAGGATTTCCCCCTCACGGCCTTAAGAGAGAAAGATAAAAAGAAGGCGTGAGAGAGAAGGTGAGCAGGTGTGAAGATAAGAAGATGTGAAGATGAGCAGATGTGAAGATGAGCAGATGTGAAGATGAGCAGATGTGAAGATGAGCAGATGTGAAGATGAGCAGATGTGAAGATGAGAAGATGTGAAGATGGGACGGTGTGAAGATGAGCAGATGTGAAGATGGGAAGGTGTGAAGATGAGCAGATGTGAAGATGAGCAGATGTGAAGATGAGCAGATGTGAAGATGAGAAGATGTGAAGATGGGACGGTGTGAAGATGAGCAGATGTGAAGATGGGAAGGTGTGAAGATGAGCAGATGTGAAGATGAGCAGATGTGAAGATGAGCAGGTGTGAAGATGAGAAGATGTGAAGATGGGAAGGTGTGAAGATGAGCAGATGTGAAGATGGGAAGGTGTGAAGATGAGCAGATGTGAAGATGAGAGGATATGAAGATGAGAGGATGTGAAGATGAGCAGATGTGAAGATGAGAGGATGTGAAGATGAGAGGATGTAAAGATGAAAAGATGTGAAGATGAGAGGATGTGAAGATGAGAGGATGTAAAGATGAAAAGATGTGAAGATGAGAGGATGCGAAGATGAGATGTGAAGATGAGAGGATGTGAAGATGAGATGTGAAGATGAGATGTGAAGATGAGAAGATGTTTTACAGACCCCCACTATTGGAAGAACCCTGCGCTCAGACGCTCTCGGGAAAAAAAGACGTCGTGACAGACTGGACTATGTACAGGTCCTTTACCAGATCACTCTTGAAGCCCCTCAATCTGCAGGCGGCCATGTATGCATTAATTAGCCAATAAACCCTGGTTTGCAACATGCAATTGAACGTGTTGGACGACCTGGCGGAAGCCATGAAGGCGTTGGACGGAAAAAAAACACACTTTCTTGAACATACTACTCTACGCATGACCGATCTCCTTGCTTCGTTC